AGCTGCAGGTTGGAAGCACAGGCTGCTTTTACACATCCCCAAGCCTTATTGAACCATAATCCTTGGGTCTCTCAGGTCACTGAGCAATCAAAGAAGCAGTGAAGAGAATGAGAAGAAGGCAGGGTGGCCAGTTCTAACACTCCCCCAGGCAGTGGAAGAAGCGTTACCTCCTATCCAGATTTTAGGCCGTCTGTAGCAGCCGAACTGCATTCAACTTTAAGTAACAGATTATTCAACAACAGAAGCTTAAGCCTTAATGAACAAGAAGTTCAGAGCTGGACTCTTCCTGGGGTGGTCAGCAGCTCAGTGTTTCATCCACAGAATTCACTCCTGATGGTTACAAAATGTCAGGTTCTAGGCAGCCCAGCCTCACCTAGCAGTTCCATAAGCAAGGAGGGATGATAGGCAAATGTAACTTTCTTCTCCTGTAGCTTTTGCTTTTATCAAGGAGGAAAAGCTTTCCCTACCTACTAGCTTTTACAGTTCATTGGCCAGAACTAGATCGCGTTTATTTTTCACAGTTGTAGAGGCTGGGAAGTCCAAGATCAAGGCGCCAGCCAAATGCAAAAACCCTCAACAAAATACTAACAAAACAAATTCGAAAGCGTAATAAAAGGATCATACACCATGACCATGTGGGGTTTATCCCTGGATGCAAGGATGGTTCAACATACACATATCAATCAATAAATGTGACTCACCACATATAAAATTAAGGATAAAGCATAGGATCATCTCAACAGCTGCAGAAAAAGCATTTATTTTATGAGGGCATTCATCTCAGTCATGAGGGCTGCACTTTCATGACATAGTTACTTCCCAAAGATCTAATTCCAGATACCACCACACTGGGGATTAGGGTTTCAACACAGGAATTTGGGGGAGGATGCAAACATTCAGCACCCACTAAAGGAGTTTTAACATATTTCATTTTTTGGTCTATTACATATCTTACTGTGTGTTTCTTGCCCTTCTGTTGAAAGTAGAGTCTCTGTGTTGAATAAGCAGCTAGGTTATTCCCAGGGAAGTGACTGGAGACATTGCCTTAGGAAGACTTTCTTGGCCCACAATTAAAATGCACCCTGTTTCTGCAGCAGCCCGCTAGGGTGCAGTGCTGCGCTGCTCACTCCCTCTTAGGGACGCCTGGGACCAGCTGTCAAATTAATCTCTCCTTTCTGAAATGTATAACAGTTCATTCTGGGCTTCTATCTGTTCAAGAATTTAGAGCCAGAACCTTAGACAAAGGGAATTTAATTGCATGCTGATAAAATATCAAAACTCTTGTGCATAAAATAGCTGTATATATTTTTTTGAAACAATGCCTCCATGATTACAAGTAAGATTTGCACCAGTGAGTGAAATCCATTTTGTAACTCATTAGAAAATCTTCAACCTAAAAGCAAATTCTTATAATCTCCTCTATAAGCCATTAAATGGTGGCTTTCTACCTTTTGGACTGCACAGGAATACAATATATTAAAATGAGTAGTCTGCAAATTTGGTTAACCTGTTTTTAACTTTAAGTGTTGATTTTTACCTCCCTGTGAAAACCTAATGGTGAATAAGGGCCATGATTTGGGGAAGTTGCTTATTTCACAGAAAACAGCTGTTATGCCTCATATTAAACCATGAAGAACTGTATCAGGTCACCTTCTCTAACAGTCCTTCTCGCTTTAAAAAGAAATATCCAGACAACAAGGACGTGGCTTGACTTTCAAGGTCATCCAATGAGATAAAGAGTTGCTCTAGGTTAAAGCAGAGATATTCAGTCAAAACATGCTACCACCATTGGTACCCAGAATAGTCAGGGTGAGCTACACGATTTATAGAACAATTGCTGTATAGAACCGTCTCCCAAAAAGGCAGTTTTTCTTTCTATGGGTTAAGACACATTCTCTGAGAAATGATTAATGAGAGGCAAGATGAAAATGGTTTAAGGCACTTGTCACTATCCTTAGTATTTAAGTAATAAGGCAAAAATGCATATATATATATATATACACACATATGTAATATATGTAACTATAATATACATATATCTATGTATGTTTTCTATTTGCAGTAAAGTGCCCCCACCCTAGTCACCTACCTTACTCTTCAGTCCAACTGAACTTGATTTCAACAAAAGAGGTCATATATATGTTTTCAAAACCTGTTCAATGAGTCTGAAGTTACAGAACAGAAAAACAAATACCCCACTATTCTCATGATCCAATTACAAGCCTCTCAGCTATTGGAGTTCTTTCACGAGCAGCTTACAGCCCTTGAAAACTTCTAATTCCCCTGATAGACTCTCCAGGGTACACAGTCATTGCCTCATTATTGTGGTTCACAGTGATTGCAAATGTAACCCCCAGCTTGCATAAGTAAGCTTATCACTGCTTTAAAGTAACCCTGTGTTAGGTCCTGTGTAGAAAAGAATCTCCCTACATACATGTGTGTATTCCTGTCAAGAGTTTGTCCTTAAACACCTCGAAGCTAAGAAGAGGTATAACTGTTAATGACAGATCAGTTTTAAGATGTTTAAATAGACTTCTTTATTGAAGTTTAGCATACATGCACAAAATTATAAAAATATTAAGAGTTCAACTCAGTGAAGAATTACTTTAAAGAGACTGATCAAAGAGAACTTTACCAAGAAGGCTGTCAGCCTACAATTCAACATTTTAGAGAGAGAGAGACAGGCCAGTCAAGGGACTACTGTGACACCAAATTGAGAAAGCTTGATACATGGCCCCCTGAGCTAGAAGGACATGGAAACCGATACTTTTTTCCCACCATCGAGGGTGTAAGACAAGAGGCTGGCTAGAGCTGTTGGTGCAAAAAAAGAGAAGTACAGTGGGAGCAAGCAGGACTTGTGCCAAAGGTGGACAAACTGACAGCACAGTAGGTCACTGTGCTATTGTCATCCTCATGTGACCACAGAAGGATGCCTACTGGGATGAGGAGAACCAGGTAAGGACCCTAGAATAGGACCTGGTTGAGGGGGATTCATGAAATC